AGCTTTGCTCACCTCCCCACCCAACCCTCCCGTCCTCTTTCCTGTATTTATTTTGTGTGATCGTGCAGCATTGCATGCAGCTTTTCCAAAGGTGGGGAGGAGGGGAGGAGGCAGAACAAGCACCAGCAAGCCGCTCGCTGGCATGCCTGTTTTGGTAACTTAGTCATTACTAACTTCAACTTAGCCAAAATGTGAGGCCTGTTAATAAACTTGTCTGCCAGCTGGCTTTTTTAGTTTTCTCCTTAATCTCATGGTAATTTAAAAAAGCTGATAGTTTAATGCCATTGTTTTTAGTGAGAATAGTGATTGTATGAGCACAATGTACAGCATAATTTTCTGGGTATGTTGAGTTAAAGATAATTTTCCCTTTCAGCTTCTTGTGTGCCATACAGTTTTTACACAAATGGTGTCAACATTATAAAAAGTGTTTCTCCTTTTCTTCCCTCCCTTCCCTCCCTTTGAGTGCTGTGATTATAGTCATGCTACCATGACTGGCTCTCCTTTGACTTCTGTTATAAAGAAACTCAAATGGTATTTTTGTTATAACTCTAGGCAGTACTCACAGAGATTATGAATTCTTTATAAAATTAATCTTCTTTTAGTCTTGTTTTTTTCCCAGCTGAGATAAATGGATTTGATTTTTCTTAATTTCACATCTGAATTTTACCTTGCAGTTACCACAATCATCCTATGAAAACATCAGATTAGATTCTTTTTCTTTTGTAATACTATCATAAGACTTAGCTTATGTTTCCAAGTTCCAGTGCAGTGTCTGGTACCTCACAGGAAGCTTTTAATTGAATTAAATGTCTTGTACAACTTCATGAAACTGGACTTCACAAAGCATAGGTTTTCTGAAGCCCTGGCTTCTGTTTTAATGGCATCATTTAAAATTGCAGGTTGACTCCATCTAGAACTGCACATACATGTGTAATTAATGACATGAGTGTGTGCACTAAATATGTCAGCTTGATCCTTTCTTAATATCATAGGATAAGTGGAAATACATGTCAGTTTTTAAAATCCTGTCCTTATTTTACTAGACATGTCAATGTTGTTACTATTTCCTTCTCCCCTAGCAAAAAGATGATAGTATTTCAAAAAGTTTATAATCAGTGTCTTAAAAATGTTCTCCTGGGTAGCAAATACATTTTCACTTATTTCAACACATAGTAATGGATTTAGAGAGAAATAATTAAAAAGTAGCTTTTACTGATTTGAGACTATAGTCCTCAAACATCTGGCATCTTACATAGTTTTAAATTTTCATGTGATTTTAAATGTATATTCAGTCTGTTCTTTTCTGTATAGATACAGATAGGTTACAATTGATTAATGGAAGTGAAATTGATAATTACAGTTTTAACAGAGAATGTATTTATCACTCGTTCAATTCACCTTCCAAAGAATGTTAAATTTAACACTAATGTTATGACACCTTCAAGTAACCTAAATTAGTTGAGCCAGCTTATTTGTAGTTATTTGAAAATCAGCAACAGCCTCCCATGTCTATGCTTTTAGGAAGTGAGAGTGGAGTATGAACAAAGAAAAACGTTTTTATAATATTCAGCGGCCACTTTTTGTCCTGTTGGTGTTTCCAAGCACTAGCATTACATAGTTTGGATTTTTCTCTATTAACTCCCCTTTCCCAGTTTGATTCTTCGTTCTGTCCATCAGGAACATCTCAGCCTAGCTATTAACAGAGCTGAGTTTGATTCCCCCCCCCCCCTTTCCCATTAGCTCTCTGGTTATGCAGGTTTTGATAATACAGGTCTTGTCAGCCACCTTTCTGTTGATTCTAGTAGAAAATTTCTTTTCTTCCCTACCTTCTAAGATACCTTGTCATTCAGTTTTTATGTTAGTTAGGTTTGTTTTTTGTTTGTGTGATTGACTAAAGTCCAAATTATGAAAGGGGGTGAGAATAAGCTTATTTCTGATAAAGGTAAAAAAAAATACATCCTAAGAAATTTTAGGACATCGAAGGACAACAATGAAAGGGTTGTTGCCTTTGCAGGATCTTGGTTCCAGACAAGTTCTAACTTAACCAGCAGTGTTTCTAACATGCTTTATAGGGTCTTCTTATGTAGTACTTTTTAAGACTCTTCACTCTCTTCCAAGTTCCTGGTGGGCAAGCCAATCTGTGACTGCTGAGGGATCTCTCTAGTCTAGCTGCAAACTTTCTGGAAGGGGAGAATTTTGTAAATGGTATATTTTTGTCCTGGGGGTGCAGATTGGTGTAGTCAGCATTCCTTTGAGAAAGAGTATGAAAGTCAGCAGTACAGTAGTGAAGTATTAACCTAGGCCTTCTTTCACCAGTCTTCCCAAATAGGGAGCAGTACTTGATTCCTGGGGCAGTTGTTATGGTGCTAGGTACTTTCTGATACAAATTCCTTTTCTTACTCCACCACTCTTACTTCTTAGGTGCTACCCCATAGCCCTCCATAAAAAGGAACAACAAAACACAAGAAGCATTTCAGAAGTAAAAACTGATTTAAAGCTAGGGACAGAAAACTTAGAAGTTCTGTCCACCTTTCCCCTCTCCATCTTTCTCTGATTAAATAGGACAGCACAAAAATTCAAGTTAAAAAACATTTTCTTTTCTTAAAAAAAAAATTGGTGTCTTGGAAATTCTTTTATTTTTTGAAATTTTTATGTTAGATTATTTGTCAAGTACTCTTATTTTGTGTTTTTGGTGGTACCGGGGTTTTGAATTCCATGCCTTCTTGCACTTGTTAGGTAAGTGTAAGTGTTCTACCACTTGAGCCATGTCCCCAGGTCACCCCTGCTTTTTCCTTTAGTTATTTTTCAGGTTGAGTCCGCCTGGGACTGACCTCAAGCCGCAGTTTTACCTGTGACCTCCTTGTACCACAGGTGCACACCACAACCAGCTTATTAATTAAGAAGGTGTTTTCCTAAGTTTTTGCCTTGAACTGAGATCTGATGTCTGTCTCCTAAGTAGTTGGAATTATAGGCGTGAGCCACTGTACCTAGCCTCAAGTAGTCTTTGGCTTGGCTAATAATAGCTTTTGAGCTTTTTAAAAGTTTTTTTAATGGGACTGACATTTGAACTCAGGGCTTCCTGCTTACAAAGCAGGGGCTCTACTGCCTGAGCCACACCTCCAGTCCATTTTCTCTGGTTATTTTGGAGATGGGGTCTCTTTAACTATTTGCCCTGTCTAGCATTGAATGGTGATCCTCCTGCTCTCAACCTCCCTAAGGCGTGAGCCACTGGCATCTGACTCATCTTTGAGCTTTTATGTGCTAGTTACTAACAAATAATTTATATATTTTCATTTAATCCTCAAAACCCTTATGAAAAGATATATATCCTATTTACATATATATGTATATATACACACATATACATATATTAGGCTGACCAAGGTTGCCTAGTGAGTAGGGAAACAGCTGGCAGTTGAATCTAGAGCTAGCCTACTCTAAAGATTCTGCTCTTTGGCTGTTATGCTAACAACTAGTGTTGTTGTAGATAAAGTAAAAAATGGCACATAGCTCCGTTATAAGCTGGTGACTGTACTGTGATGGTAAACAGGCATGTAATTGCATGGCATTGTTAACTACCACCTGGATTTTCCATTTTTCCTTGCTGATCATATGATGTGCTCTTCTTCCTGTTTTCTCCCTTTTAATACTGGGTTTCAAAAGTGCATCGGCCATTCATACCATGCAGCTAGATTGTGGTTGGCTTTTCCTATGTATTCCATGTCAATTGGCCATAGCTATAAAATGCTTGTTGCTTGGAATTTATGAATGTATTTAATTTTCCCCTTTCCAACAGACTTGCCAGTTCTAGGTTGAATGCTACTAATTTTAGGGCATATGGCAGTTAGGATTGTTGACTTAAAGTAGATACACTAAAATGAGGGGCAATCATATTGTTCCTTTTTTGGGGGAGAAGAACTGGGGTTTTGACCTCTTGCTTGCTACACAGGCACTGTACACTTGAGCCACGCTGCCAGCCAGCCTCTTTTTGGTTGGGTATTTTTTGAGAGAGGGTCTAGCAAACTGCCCAGGCTGACTTCAAACTGCTAGGATTACAGGAATGAGCCATTGGCTCCTGGCTGTCTTTATTGTTACATTTGGAAATTCATAAGGGAAGGTGAATGTGTTTATTTGGCTCACTTTGTCAACTGCTTGTTTCTTCATGTGCAAAAGTCTGCTGTTTCTGTGCTCATGTATTTTATTGCATATTATTGTAAAGAACTGCCTCTTAATTTCGCCATTTAAAAATCTTTCTGTTCTGCGATCCAAATGCATCCATTTATATACAGGATGAGAAAACATCTGGACATCTGGTTTTTTTTTTTCCTTTTCCTCGCTCTCTCTGCATGCTTGCTTTACCCCTTCACATCCTTACCTTCATGTGGTATTGATCTTGTTTGGACTAGGGTATGTATGTATGTATTTATTTTGCAGTACCCTAACAGCCCCTCTTTTTTTGTGATGAGTTTTTTGAGATAAGTTTCAGAAGTACTTATTTGTCTGGGCTGGCTTTGAGCTTCAATCCTCCTGATCTCTGCCTCCTGAGTAGCTAGGGTTACAGGCAAGAGCCACCAGCCCCTGGCTTTGGATTAGGGTATTTAATCATTAGCTTCTCTGTTGCTTTAATTGTTCTCTGTTGAGCTTTCATTTTGGATGTGGGAGGACATCTACAAATGCAGAGTACCCACATGTTTGGATCACTTCTCAGGACTCGTAGTAGTAGCTCTCCTCTCTCCCCACTTTGCATTATCCATTTTTACAATCAGTGACAGAGTATATTGTGTATGTCATACTTTTTTCTTTTTAGCAGAAGTATTGGTATATGGCAAAATAAGGCATCTGCTCAAATTCCTGGGAAGAAACATTGTACTTGATAGCTTTTGTCAATTTATGAGTAAGTTGAAGGAAGAGATGGGAACAATTAACTATGTGTGACTAATACTAATGCTTATATGATGAAAAGGTAATGAAATTCAACCCCCCTCCTTTTTTGTCCTCAGGATCAAAATACTTGCTGAACAGTGGACTCAGAGACTATTAAAAAATAAAAATCCTACCTGAGCATCATATGACTGGTTAGAAAGGTAATCCATTCATTCTACTTTGACTTGAACTGTTGTACTTTTTTGACTATCTTCTGAAGATACCCTCTTCTTTAATTTTTGATTTAATTTAAACTAATTTTGTGCATGATGTTTTCCTCTTTAAAGGATAATGCTAGTTGAACAAATGGACGTGGGAATAGTCAAGTGAATACATACGTATATATACTGATAAGGTATATAACTACCTAAACCAACACCAATGTGGTGGAAAGGGGAAAGACAATCCTCCGTGGCCACACATGTGAATATTTTAGGGCATTTAGTCAAAATCAGAATTAGCCCCAACATATGTTGGCTATTTTACCTTTTGAGACTAATTTTGTTCGATGGCTTGTGCTGGCAATCCCTTTCTTAACTTTCTTTCTTTTTTTTCCTTTTTTAAAATTTCTTTTATTCATATGTGCATACAATGTTTGGGTCATTCTCTCCACCCCGCCCCCCCCCCGCCTCCTCCTTTCCCCCTGCCCCCCTTTCTTAACTTTCAATATTGCATCAGAATAGGAAAAATGAAAAAAATAAAGTCTGATATACAAGAAATCAGTTATGCTTTGCCAGCAATAACAATAAAAAGTCTGGTACTGGCACAAAAACAGACATGAAGACTAGTGGAGCAGAATAGAGGACCCAGATATGAAGCACACAACTATAACCAACTTGTCTTTGACAAAGGTGCTAAAAATATACGATGGAGAAAAAGCAGCCTCTTCAACAAAAACTGCTGGGAAAACTGGTTAGCAGTCTGCAAAAAACTGAAACTAGATCCATGTATATCACCCTATACCAATATTAACTCAAAATGGATCAAGGATCTTAATATCAGACCACAAACTCTAAAGTTGGTACAGGAAAGAGTAGGAAATACTCTGGAATTTGTAGGTATAGGTAAGAACTTTCTCAATGGAACCCCAGCAGCTCAGCAACTAAGAGATAGCATAGATAAATGGGACTTGATAAAACTAAAAAGCTTCTGTTCAACAAAAGAAATGGTCTCTAAACTGAAGAGAACACCTACAAAGTGGGAGAAAATATTTGCCAGCTACACATCAGACAAAGGACTGATAACCAGAATATATAGGGAACTCAAAAAACTAAATTCTCCCAAAATTAATTAACCAATAAAGAAATGGGCAAGTGAACTAAACAGAACTGTCTCAAAAGAAGAAATTCAAATGGCCAAAACACACATGAAAAAATGCTCACCATCTTTAGCAATAAAGAAAATGCAAATTAAAACCACACTAAGATTCCGCCTCACCCCTGTTAGGATAGCCATGATTAGCAACACCACCACCAACAGGTGTTGGCGAGGATGAGGGGTGGGGAAGGAGCCCTCTTACACTGCTGGTGGGAATGTAAACTAGTACAACCACTCTGGAAAAAAATTTGGAGGCTACTTAAAAAGCTAAACATTGATCTACCATTTGATCCAGCGATACCATTCTTGGGGATATACCCAAAAGACTGTGACATAGGTTACTCTAGAGGCACCTGCACACCCATGTTTATTGCAGCACTATTCACAATAGCCAAGTTATGGAAACAGCCAAGATGCCCCACTACTGACTAATGGATTAAGAAAATGTGGTATCTATACACAATGGAATTTTATGCAGCCATGAAGAAGAACGAAATGTTTCGCTGGTAAATGGATGGAATTGGAGAACATCATTCTGAGTGAGGTTAGCCTGGCCCAAAAGACCAAAAATCTTTTTTTTTCCTCATATGCGGACATTAGATCAAGGGCAAACACAATAAGGGGATTGGACTTTGATCACATGATAAAAACGAGAGCACACAAGGGAGATAGGAGGATAGGTAAGGCACCTAAAAAATTAACTAGGATTTGTTGCCCTCAACGCAGAGAAACTAAAGCAGATACTTTAAAGCAACTGAGGCCAATAGGAGAAGGGGACCAGGAACTAGAGAAAAGGTTAGATCAAAAAGAATTAACCTAGAAGCTAACACACATGCACAGGAAATCAGTGTGAGTCAACTCCCTGTATAGCTATCTTTATGTCAACTAGCAAAAACCCTTGGTCCTTCCTATTATTGCTTATACTCTCTCTTCAACAAAATTAGAGGTAAGGGCAAAATAGTTTCTGCTGGGTATTGAGGGGGTGGGGGGGGGAGAGGGAGGGGGCGGAGGGGTGGGGGCAGGGGTGAGAAATGACCCAAGCATTGTATGCACATATGAATAATTAAAAAAAAAAAACCAACAAACCAAGAAAAAAAAATTATGCTTTGCCTAGCTGGTTAAATTTTTTTTTTTTTTTTTTGGTGGTGGTGGTGGTGGTGGGGGCATTACTGTGGTTGAACTCAAGGCCATGATCATGCTTACTAGACAGATGCTCTACCACTTGAGCCCAACTTTTTTAGTTGGGTATTTTTGAGACAGGGTCTTGAACTATTTGCCTAAGCTGGCTTCCTACTGAGATTCTCCCTGATCTCTGCCTCCTGAGTAGCTTGGATTACAGACAAGCTACCACCACTGGCACCCTAGCTGAATTTGTTTTTGTTAGTAATACCATTGTTTTAAATTTGTATAATCTTTGAATCCCACCTTTGATACATTTAGCAAATGAGCTTTATCTGGTTTGCTATTTTCCTGTCTTTTGCATTTGTTCCACTTTCTGTTTCTAATTTTAGCTTCCTCTAGGCCAAGACCCCATAATTTCATGCTTGTTTGTCCATGTCTCTTTCTGCTTTCTTATCTCCTGATTATTCTTATTTGTAACTTTGCTAGATTTTCTTAAACATATTCTTTTCTTATCTCCTGATTATTCTTGTTTGTAACGTTGCTAGATTTTCTTAAATATATTCTTTCCCTTCCTTGCAGAAAAATGTGCAGGGGCTTGGGGTTTTGCTCAGTGGTAGAGCACCCGTTGAACATGTTCAGGGTTCTGGGTAGAAGCTCTGCACTCAGAGAGGTAAGAGGAGAGACCAGTGTATTCTTTGTGTGGTTATTTAAGCCACCAGTCTTAGCTCTTGCAATTTCCCTACAAACCTTTCAATTAATTGTGTTATGTACCCATTCTGTTCTGATGTTCTGAACATAGCAGAGAAGTATCTCTAAGGGTTCCCCCCATTCCCCCAGCACTGGGGCTTGAAGTCAGGGCCTCACACATGCTAGGGAGGTACTCTACCACATGTACCACTTCACCAGCCTTTTTTTGTGGTGGTTTTTTTTTTTTTTTGAGATAGGATCTCAAGAACTTTTTGCCTGGGACTGGCTTTGAATGGTGATCTTCCTGATCACTGCCTCCTGAGTAGCTAGGATTACAGGCGTGAGCCACCAGCGCTCTTCCCCCCGCCCCCCCCCCCTTTTTTTTTTAAATTTGTGGTACTGAGGATTGAACCCAGGGCCTTGTGTATGCTAAGTAAACACTAAACCACTGAGCTATATCCCCAGTCCCTATCTCTAAGTTTTTAATTTAAAAAATTTGTTTGGAATTAATTCCATATTTACAGAAGTTCAAAAGAATATCTGGGTATCCTGTATCCAGACACACCCACTTGTGTAACTTGGTTCTTGTGTTCCTGGTCTTTTCTCTTCCCTTCTCTTCTCTCCTTTCTTCAATTCCCCTTCCCCTTCTCCTTTGCTCCCCTGTCGTAAATGACATATTTATCTAATATTTACTGTATTTCTGAAGATCAGGATAATTCTCTCATATAACCATGGTACAGCTAAACAACTTTTTAGATGAACATGGATAAATAAACCTTTTGTCCATATTACAATCTTACCATTTGACCTAAAAAAGTGTCTAATAGCATTTTCCCTACTTTGTGTATAGAAACCAGTCTGAGGTCACATACTAAGTTACTATTTCTCTTCAGCCACCTTTTTCCTGGAATATTTCCACAGCCTTTTATTTTTTATAATAATTTTTTTTTGAGACGGGTCTTACTATGTAGGCCATGTTAGCCTTGAACTCAAGATCCTCCTACTTCAGCCTTCTGAATGCTGTGTGCCACACACCAGACTCTGACACTGGCATTTTTGAAGAATACAATACTCTCCTACCTGTTTACTCCTTTTAATAGAATTTTCTTCATTTTATGTTTGTCTGAAGTTTCCTTGTGATTAGGCATAGGTGATAGGATACTCCTAGAAATCTGGAGATGCCTGAAGTCCATCTGTCCCTCCTTGTGAAGTTAATTCTGACCATTTGGATAAAGTGTTGCAGATTTCTGCACCGTATATAGTTTGTTCTCATCTCCTGCAAGCTGTAAGCTGTTGGGAAGGCAGTACAGGGATTGATCTTCCTCAGGTTCACCTAGCTTTAGTGTTCATTAATGATTCTTGTCTGATTCAGCTTTTACACTGTGACGGTTGCAAAGTGGTCATTTTTTTCATTCCAGCATTCCTGTCACATTTATATGTCAGTTCTTGGCATAATTCTGTAATCAAGATCTTCATCTATCGGTGTAGAATTACGAAATCTTATTTTCGAATAGTTTACAGTTATTACTCTCACGTAATTGTTATTTTGTTCAAATTGGTTAGTGAAGTTCTTTTAATTGGACTCCTGCGTCCTTTCAGGGAATAATACTAGAGAGTAAGACCTCTGGGTGGAAGAGAGCCTTATTGTTTTGAAGATGTCCTCAAAGAGTAACTCCTCACTTTTCTTCCCTCACTCATTAGTTTTTACACAAATGCATAGTTTCCATTATGTGCATGTACTATAGTTTATTCAAGCATTTTTCTTTGTATGGATATTACCTGTGTTGCCAGCTCTGTTTTATATAAAAATACTACAATAAATAACCTTGTGAATATGTATTTTCCTATTATGGGGGACAGTTATCTTCAGAATAAGTTTCTGGAAATGAAGAAGATGGGTTGAAGGGTGAACGTGTGTTCAGTATTGGGTGTTATCAAGTTATACTTCATAGAGGTGCTGTCGTTTTGGATTCCCACCAGTAGTATCTGAGATAGCCTATCTGCCGTCGTCAGAGTATAATAGTTCTTATTCTCT